TGTGAAGGTGACACTGTATTTGGGCAGTGAGAATCCAGCACTCCAGTGCCATCTGGTGTCATATAGTCCAGTCTATCTCTACATAGATAGGTGCCACAGCAGCAGCTGAGAGGCAAGGCCATGTGCTGTTGTCACGCACCTGCTCATGCTAGGGCTCAGCAGCTGCTTTCAGATTCAAAAAGTGTCTTCATGCTGGTGAGTCAAATGCCGTGAAACACCTTGTTCCCTGTGTGAGGAAATGACTCAGCCATTGTGCCAAAGTAACAGCAGGAAGCTGTTTCTTGGTTTCAGAGCAAGCACCTTGAGGAGGGTGCAAGCTTGACTTCAGAGGGAAAAGCCCATTTCCTGTCTCTTTTTTTGCAGTCACATCCTGATGTCTGGAGAGGACACAGGGGCATCCTGATTCTGGCCTGGATTCATCCTGGCAAAAGCCCCCTTTAAAGTCAAGGAACAGGCATTTGACTCAGTTTACCCAGAGTAGTGCCCTGTATATGTGTTCATTTCCATCCATGAGAGTTCCCTGCAGGCTACAGACTGGGAGTGGGGATCCCAAGTGAACACTTAGGAAGGGCACTTCTCCCTTGCAGGTCAAGATCTGGTACCCTCAGGTGCTGTCCTTGGGCCTTATCAGTGTTGGATTTGAGTACATCAGTTTCCTTCAAAATAGTGCTGAGGTAGGGAAATGGGTAGGATGTAGAGGAAACGAGATTGCCAAGCTATTGGTCATTGTTAAAATTGGGTAATGGATAAAGTGAGAGTTCATTACACTCTTCTATTTTGTTTGTATTACACATAAAATTTTTAAATAGAAAAAATGATAAATACAATCTTAACAAAAAGCAATTTTCTTTCCATCCAAAATTGTCAGATGTACAGCTTTCATGCCTTTTTCTCTGAGAAAACCCCCAGCTGCTGTACCTGCTCTGAGAGTGCCACTGGGACTGTGGTGTTTCCCCTAGAGAGAAGACTCCACTTAGGAAATTTGGCCCTGGATAGTAACTGGGCCTAGATATTTGTCCACATCTTATGTTAGGTTTAAAGAGTGTTGAAAACTCTAATGATGGCAGGAATTTGAGTCTCACTGGAGGCCTGGAACTTTTATAAAAACTATAGTAATGTTTTATGTTGATCAAACAAGAATAATTACCAAAAAAGGTGGTGGTTTGGGACAGAAAGCCAGCATTACAAAATAGTTATTTTACAAAGTAGAAGTTTCAAATCCTAAGAAAGTTCTTGTCCTAGAAAAATGTACCTCAGCCCCAAAAGGCTGGTAGAGCTTTGCAACTCCTTCTCTGGTCCTCCTGCTCAGCTCACAACCCACGAGTGAGGTCAGCCTTTGTCTGTCTTTCTTGCTCCTCACTCCGTACAAATGAAAACCATAGCTCAGACAGAGACAGGAGCTAAGTTCCAGCCCTAGACACGAATTTCTGGAAGGAAGAAAGACACAAATTCTGTGATGTGGACATTGACAAGAACTAGGAGAGCGCAGGGGCCATGGCTGGCTCTGCCATAGGAAGTCATAAAAAGCTTCAAAGAGGATTGATATCTATGCTGACTTTGAGAAATGAATATTTTATCAGAAAAATAGAAGGAAGGGAATTCCAGGAAGAAAGGACAGCCAAGGCCAAAACCAGATGTATGAAAGACCATAAGGCTTCTGTACTGCATTTAAAGTATTCAGAATATAGAGAAGTCAAAAAAAGATTTTCCAGAAGACAATGCGAAGCCTTTGACGAGTTTCATCATGAGAAGAACATGACTAGTGCTTGTCTATCTCAACCTGGACTCTGAAACCTCACACTTAATACTAGCCAGAACCAAAACACCTATGACTTTCCTGTTAGGTCCCAGCTTCTAGACTGAAGGAAGTACTAGGCTCCTGCAGAGTGGAAGAACTGTCACAGTGGACACCTGTGGACACCATGAAGGCTAACTTGCTTGCATCCACTTCTGGAGCCTTTTGGGGAGAATCATTTTTTTTTTTTTTTTTTTTTGGTCTTTTTTGAAGCAGGATCTTGCTATGTGGTTCAGGCTGACTTTGTAGTCCAGGCCGATCTTGAACTTGCCACAATCCACCTGCCTCAGCCTCCCAAGTGCTGGGATTACAGGAGTGTACCACCACACCCGGATCAGGGGAGGATCATTTAAAATCTTCACCCAAAAGAGAAGAGTTACAGAAATGTTTTCTCTGGAGAACTATAATTATTCTCTTCTCCAAATCTCTGTTAATGTCTAGACAAGCCACTATTTTCTTACCCACAATACCAAATCCAAATCACTTTAAAAAACAAAAGTTCCTCTGGTTTTGTTTTGTTCATTCAAACTCTTTTGGGGGCAAAACCACCTGTGCAGATGTGATGCTATTTATAGCCTCTATTGAGTCACTTGGTGTGAAAATCCATATTCTGCTGCAGAAATCCTAATTGTGCTAGATTACAGGGTGCTTCCCCAGATCATGCTGGGGAGAATTATGTAATTATGTGGCATATGCACTATATTACCATCTCAAAATAAAGTTACCGAAACATGAAGTCCAAAACCAGTCTGACCCTGGGGCTTTTAGATTAGGAATTGTGGGCTAAGGTTACTTCTAAAAAGAAGATAGTAGTTCCATCTTACCTTTAAAACTAGACTCCCACTTGTGCAAGCGTGAGGACCCAGCAGTGCAAAATTTCACTGCCACATTTCTATGGCCATTTCAGTCTCTAATGCTCCATGAGGATCACTGAAATGACTTCTGCTCCTCTGACCCCTCTCTCCTCCTCCCCAGCACACTCATCCCACTAGATTATTTCATCTCCTGCTTTACAGAAAAACAAGTACCAAGTTCTTTCTCTTAGAGAAACTTGAGGTACTCTTACGGAAGACAGTTCTGACCCTCACCCACATCCCTGTGCTCCTTCCACCTTTATATATCCTATCATCAAATCACTCCATCTGAAACAACGAGACAATATACAAAAAAAATAGCCTTCGTGGATTCCATTCCCTTTTCCTGATTATGTCCTTTTTCTTCCCATCCCATGAATAGCTGCTCCAAAAGCTTGTTCATCTGCATGGCGTCCACTGCCTCCGCTTTGCTTATCTCCTCTTCTCACATGACCTGGCTCCAGCCCCTCTGCTGTCTGCCCACCCATGACCTGGCCACTGACTCCCTCCATTGGTGCTTGTCATTGGGAAGACTAGCCTTCATCCCTGCTTTGCCTGCTCTCCTGGCTCCCTTGGGAGATTCCTCCGCTTCCCTGCATGGAACAACACTAGAGATGACTTGGCACTAGCCTCTTATTCTGCATCTATAGCCACAGCTTTACTGCCTGTCAGGACACCCACTGTTCCCAACCCATGTGTCCCACTTCTAACTCTCCCACGTGACATCTCCTAAATGCCTTGAAGACACATTCAACCCATCCTCTGCAGAACTATCATCTTGACCTCTGCTATGCAATCCCATCAACCTACTCCTCTTCCCCTGTTGCCACTTTAATATACTCAGCATGTAGGCCTGAAATGTGGCTGTCACCTTGACTGCTCCCTCTCTATTGCCTTTGTTTCTCCTGCTTAAGTCTTGTAGACAAAGCTACCTCTATCTGCCACATGGTCTGCTAAATGTGCTTCCTCACAGCTTCCTTGATGTGTCCACCTGCTTCTTTTGGAAACGCTCACCTGATTGGGCAGCTCTTGGTGGTTTCCTAGATGGAATTATTTCTTAGGATAAAGACAAGAATCCCTAAGGCCTTTGCCTCCTCCTGTCTGGCCTTGGCTGGTCCATCCCCGCCTACTCTTTGTGCTGTAGCCAGCCTGGCTTCTTCTGTCTCCTTTTGTATATCAACCTCTGTGCCAATTTGAATCCTGGCCTACAAACCTCCTTCTGCCTGAATCCTCTTCTAATCTCCACTGTTATCTGTGAGGTGTCAGCTCAAGGATCCCTTCTCATAAAAAGCCTCCCTGGTACCTCGACCCATTCAGAACCCCTTGGAGACTCTCTGAGCACAGATGCCTGGCTTTCACAGACTTTGTCACAGTTGCAATTTAGCATCTGTTCCTGGGATCATTTGATCAATGTGCACCTCTATAGCTAGAAGGTAAACATTTAAGAAAGCTGAGACCCTGCCCACCTTTGCTCCCCAGGTCCCTGCCTGAAGGGACAAAGAGTAAAAGGAAAATTGATAGGAAAATGACCTTGGAAATTGTTCATGCCACCCAAATGGTGTTGTGGTTGAGGTCCCTCGGAGGGCTGAAAGCAGATGGAGGTCCCAGGCAGGGTCTGCCTGTCTCCTGGAGGTGTTTTGGTTTTGTGTTCTAAGTTGTAGTGGAGGCAGCTGCAGTGACCTGGAGGGTATGGATATATTTGAATGAGCCCTTTTTTTTTTTTTTTTTTGCTGGAAAGGGAAAATCAGGTAGGCACAGGGAAGAAGAAAGATTTGTTTTTTGTTTTTTGTTTTTTCTCATAGTTTGAGGTGAGAAAGGTGTTAGGTATTCTTGTTCTCTTGTACTGTTATGCAGGCTGTTGACTACTTGACTTCAGGGGGCACCATTCACACTGTAATCTAAGCATTAGAAATGCGTGAATTGTGATGATCTTGGATATGTTTCCTTTCCTTTCCTTTCTTTTCTTTTTTTCTATGCTGGGAGTTGAACTTAGGCCTCATGAATGCTAGGCAACACTCTACCACTATCCCCAGTGGCTGTTTCTTAATATGACAGCTCCAAGGTAAATGATGATAGCAGCTAAAATTAGCTGAGAATTTATTATGTAAGCACTTAACATTTATTTCATCTTACTTACCACCAAAATATACTCTGTAGTTGGTGCTCTTGATTCAGAGGAGTTAAGTGAATTTCCCAAGATCATACAGCCATGGCTTCTTACTTCTCTGCCATGTTACCTTTGAACTTTGTGAGACTAAGAGAAGGGGTGTGGAGGTGACCTTGGTGCTTATGAGTAAAACCATCTTCTCTGTATCTCTGTTCTTCTCCATTTGCTACCATCTTCCCCATAGCTGGACAAGATGCTGGATCCCCAGGTGTGGCGGGAGGCAGCCACACAGGTCTTCTTTGCTCTGGGGCTGGGCTTTGGTGGTGTCATCGCCTTCTCTAGCTACAACAAACAGGACAACAACTGCCACTTTGATGCTGCCCTGGTGTCCTTCATCAACTTCTTCACTTCAGTGTTGGCCACCCTCGTGGTATTTGCTGTGCTGGGCTTCAAGGCCAACATCATGAATGAAAAGTGTGTGGTCGAGTAGGTAGCATCACTCCTCCGATCCTCCCTTCCCCTGCCCGCTTCACCCAGGAATAGCAAATGGGCCATGTAGAGAGAGCAGTCCTTCCACTCCTCTGAGGAATCTGTTCCCAGCCCTAGCCCACAAGGACAGATTCAGAGATGTCTGTGTCAGTGGCCCATGGAGGGGAGGGGGTTCTTGCCTTGATATCCATGAGGTGCTCCCAAGATCTCAATCCTACCTTCCCACCTGGGCCTCTCCATTTCATACTGCAGGAATGCTGAGAAAATCCTGGGGTACCTCAACTCCAATGTCCTGAGCCGAGACCTCATCCCACCCCATGTCAACTTCTCCCACCTGACCACCAAGGACTATGCGGAGATGTACAACGTCATCAGGACTGTGAAGGAGGACAAATTCTCAGCTCTGGGCCTGGATCCCTGCCTTTTAGAGGATGAGCTAGATAAGGTTCGGGGACAGGCTGTCCTTCCTAGTACACGGAGGGACCCAAAATGGGCCATGGGTGACTGGAGCTTGAGCAAAAGCCTGGGAAACCCCATAGAGAGTCATTGGTCTGTGTAACAGGCAAGGACTTACTTGTCCAATGGGAGAGAGAGGAAAGCTATTAGGCAAAGTCCCTGCCCTAAAGTTGGCTTAAATCTAGACAAGGGGCCAAGGCAGACACATGTTATATCTGAGAACCCACAGTTGGTGGAAGGCTACTTTCCCATGGATTAAGTGGACTTCCTGTATCCTGGATACCATTCTGCCATATGTAATGCACTTAACAGTGTGTGACATACGGTGAGTGAAATATGCTGGTGTCTGCCCTTGGCTCTCCATCTCCTTTGGACCTTGTGACAACTCTATGAGTTGAGTAGTGTCCTCTATTTTACTAGTGGTTACCTACCAATAGCCTGTAGGATTGGGGAGCTTTATCAAAGTCTCATAGACAGTAAGTGTGTGAGCCAGCATTCAGTCCATGTGTTTCAGCCCTCAGGACTTCAGTGCTTTCTCCCAGCTGTCCCCATCTAAATCCCACTGCCATGATGGTCCTTAGTCCCCGGCTGGCTTGGAAAGATGCTGCTTCTTCATTAACACTCAAGCCCAAGTTGAGATTTCTTCTTTTTACATTTTCACAGCTAATCCCTGTCTGCTAGAAGGGGTCAAAGTTCAGAGACATCCACAGAGTCCTAGGAACCTGGCTGGAATCAAGGCCCTCACGAGTCAGATCAAGTGACCATAGCCAAAGCTAATCCTTCCCTTCTTCACAAGATCATGAGCTTCCCCTAGCTGATTCCCAAGCTGTAGGTTAGAAATCAGTTCCATTGGACTGAGGGAGCTGTGTCCCACATCCTGACTCCCCCATAGGTGATCAAAGCCAGAGCCCATGTGGGGACCTCCTGCCTGATTTCTTCCCCTGGGAACTAGCAGCACATAGGACATCCATCTTTCATGTTCAATGAAATCCTGCCCATTCTTATGGGTACAGCCTGGGCCTCTGAGTAAAACTAGGATTTTAGCAATATTTTTCATGCAATACAACTTCAACAGTATCTAAATGACCAGAATCACACAGGTAGGGGGCACATGTTTCCTCACAATTACTGGCATTATGGGACAGAATGTAAGTGATGCCCACCTCCAGCGTATTTAGATGTTGTGTGAACAGGGCCCAAGCACTAATGTAGTGGTTTCTGACCTTGGCTGCATATTAGAGTCACTAATAAGTTTTGTAAACCCCCAGACCAGATGTACCCCAGATGCTCAAATCATTGTCCCTGGGGAGACCTAGGCATGAGGGGTTGTGAAGGTTCCAATAAGCTTCCATTGGGCAGCTGAGCCTGTGACTGCTGCAATCAAATCTGAGGCTCATGATTTCAGAGCTAGGAGCAGCCAGAATGGCTGTGCAACTTGAGAAAATATCATTGTCTCATCCTGGGTCTGTCTCTAGGTGTGAACAAATTCATCAGAATCAGCCAGGTACTTGTACAACCTCTAGATTCCAAGTTTCTTGGGGGGAGGGTCCCAAACTGGTACCTTTATGCTCTCCTCAGGGGATTCTGATGCCCACTAAAGTGTAAGAACCATTGGCTCAAACCAACAGGATTAGGTGGAGGTGAGGATCCCTGTGAAGAAAGGAACAGTGATTCCTAAAGCTTCAAGGGAAGAGGTAAGGAAGCAGGGGGCTCCTGGGTGAGGGTGTCCTTCACAGGGTCTTGCTCTCTGCCCCATCCTCAGTCTGTACAGGGAACAGGCCTGGCCTTCATTGCCTTCACCGAGGCCATGACACACTTCCCTGCCTCCCCATTCTGGTCCGTCATGTTCTTCTTGATGCTCATCAACCTGGGCCTGGGCAGCATGATTGGGACCATGGCGGGTATCACCACACCCATCATCGACACTTTCAAGGTGCCCAAGGAGATGTTCACAGGTAACTCCTCCCCACAGCCCCACCTGGCTCTCACCTGTCCCAAGGATGACACTCTTGTTCTGGCTCTGATTTTAGAAAAATTTGAGTTCCATCTGTGTCATTCAATATCTCAGGTCTGAAAGCCCTCCTCATGGGGATACAGCTGGAGCCATGTCACTGAGCTGCCAGTACTCAGGAACCAAGAGGAGATAGCTGGAAATCTAGGTCTAGCCTGAGCCAAAAATGTGACCTCTTGCTCTCTCCCCAAGAGTCTGCTGACTGGTCTTGGGCAGTGTTCCCCTCTCCCAGGACTGGCCCTCAATCCTTTGGGTCAGTGGCTGTGTCCACAGTTCTCTTTGGCCCTGCTGAGTTGAGCTGGGCTACTTACATGGCTCCCTTTCACCTGCATCCCCAGGGGAATGTCTTCCTATTCTCAGATGGGGAAACTGAAGTGGAAATAAAGAACCTAGGAGCAGCCAGATAAATCATTTAAATTCAGTGTAATTAAATGGAGTAGCTGCTGTTTAAGAGGGCTATGAAAGACAGGAGATTGATGTGCCTTTCCAGATGTTCCCCATCTGGTAGAGGGGAAGCCCAGCACCTCAGCATCAGATCCCTCCTGCAGGGCTGAGCCTGCTGGCCTGCTGGGGAATGGCATGATGGGAGGGACCTGGGTGCCTCTGAGACTCCTGGGCCACACCCACCCTGCACCTTTGCCCCCACACCGGCCTCCCGGCTCTCTGTAGTGGGCTGCTGTGTCTTTGCATTCTTCGTGGGGCTGTTGTTCGTCCAGCGCTCCGGAAACTACTTTGTTACCATGTTCGATGACTACTCAGCCACCCTGCCACTCACCGTCATCGTCATCCTTGAGAACATCGCTGTGGCCTGGATCTATGGAACCAAGAAGTAAGGGAGATGTGGGGGGAGAGGGGACAGGAGGAGGGCTCTGTCCCTTATGAGAGAGTCCTGGAGAGTCCTGTGTGCTCAGGGCTGCTTATGAACGGGCAGGAGATCATAGAATCAGAGTGTCTGGCAGCAGGGAGGCCTTTGGCACTGGGAAACTGAAGCTAGAGAGAAATCAGTTTTCCCCAGACCCCTTGGCTAGTAGCAGACAGAGTGAAGCCAAGGATGTAGGAGCCCTGGATTCAGGTCTGTTCCTAGCCTAAACTGCCTTAAATTACCGTGGCCCCTCTCCTGGGTCCTGACCCTCTTCAGAATTCTACGATTGTTAAGCACTTGGTGGAGACACCAGTGCCCCTGCTCTCAAAGAACTCAAATTCATCAGCCTTCACTTATAGACTTCATGATTTTAAGTGTGATTTGGCACAAGTTTGGGATCAGGCAGGGTAAGAAGATTCAACAATACAAAGGTATCTAGTCTCATGGCTGAACTAGGGCAGACCTCCACTCTGTCAGTCCCCAGCTTCCTTCCTCATTTAGGGACAAATCTGTGTCCCCAGGAAGTTCCAAGGCCAGCCCTGGCTCCTTGCTCAGCGCTGGCCATGGCTTCATCGTGCTTGTCTTTGCAAGGCCCACTGCCCCCACTAGCCTACTCCGTCTGACCATCCTAGGGACCTGGACCTGGTTTTGGAGCTAAAGCTCTTTCCTAGGGATCTTAAGGCAGCACAGGAGGAAACAAAGAGGGGAGGAAGGAGGGCACCTCTAACCTAATCCTCGACACCAGGATTAGATGGCACTGTTAGAGGGGCTCGAACTCTGTGCCATGGACTCTGTTGGCAGATTGGTGATGCCTTTGTACCCTTCCAGAATATTTTTTAATGTGTAAGATAAAATATAGAGGATTATGTAGAAAACTATATTGAAAAGTAGCAAAATACCATTTAAGTCTGTGAAATATACTTTATTTATATTACATTAACTTACAAGATCTATTTGTGGATCTGATAACAATCATAGTTTAAAGTAGTGATGAACACAAATGATATCTCCAGGTATTTTAGCAACTGTAATGTGATATGAAAATACCTGACTGAATCCACTGGAGACAGTCATAGGTAATTTGTTGATGCTACTGTGGTTGCTTGTGTCTGTAATAGAAAGAATTGCCAGGTTTCAGTTAGATATAATTGAGGTAAAGGCAAATTTGTATGCCATTCAAGTACACTTTGCCTGCCTCCTGAAATTCTACACACAGAGCCAACAGTTAGACACTGTTTGTAAAGTAATCTGCTCTCGTCCAGGACCAGCCCTCTAGTGCAAGGCCAGGGATGGCCTGATGGGTTGCATCCTATCCCTGGGTAGAGTAGTCAGCTAGGCCTCACACTGTGAGCACTGAAGGGAAGACCGGGGAAACTGGGAGGGATTGATGAAGGCTCCTGGAGCGGGTGGCTGTGAGGAAGGAGCAGGCGCAGTAGAAAAGGCACCAACTCCTGGGCCCTCTTCTCTGTCCCGCAGGTTCATGCAGGAGCTGACGGAGATGCTGGGTTTCCAACCCTATCGCTTCTACTTCTACATGTGGAAGTTCGTGTCTCCACTGTGCATGGCCGTGCTGACCACAGCCAGTATCATCCAACTGGGAGTGACACCTCCAGGCTACAGCGCCTGGATCAAAGAGGAGGTGAGGGTTGGGGTCCCAGGAACCCCAGAAACCTGTGTGTCTCCGCGTGCCTTAATGCAACAAGTCATTGGGATAAACCTTTAGAGGACAGCTACTACACATCAGGGCCACCAAATGCTTTGCATACATAATCTGAAATCTACAACAACCCAAAGATAAGCAGCATTATTCCTATAGCACAAATGAGGAAACAGGCTCAGAAGGATTAACGTACTTGTCTAATCTTGACATTCTTTCTCCACAACTGTGGAGTGAAACTACCCATCTGCTTTACAGTTACAGAGTGAGACCCCTTAACCAAAGTGATAAACTGAAATCAAGTAGCATCCCCTAATAACTGCCATCTCTGCTGGAGCCTGAGCAGGATGGGAAGAGAGGGATATAGGCTGTGGGCCAAGACAAGGAGAGGCAGCCCTGGAGGCCTGGGAGGGTGACTGCCACATGGGACAGTGACCCTTACTGTTTCCCATCCTTAGGCTGCTGAGCGCTACTTGTATTTCCCCAACTGGGCCATGGCACTCCTGATCACTCTCATCATCGTGGCAACCCTGCCCATGCCAGTGGTCTTCATCCTGCGACACTTCCACCTGCTCTCTGATGGTTCCAACACCCTCTCCGTGTCCTATAAGAAGGGCCGCATGATGAAGGACATCTCCAACCTGGAGGAGAATGATGAGACTCGCTTCATCCTCAGCAAGGTGCCCAGTGAGGCGCCTTCCCCCATGCCCACCCACCGCTCCTATCTGGGACCCGGCAGCACGTCACCCCTGGAGACCAGTGGCAATCCCAATGGACGCTATGGAAGTGGATACCTCCTGGCCACCACTCCGGAGTCAGAGCTGTGACCATAGCCCCTACCCTACCCACTTTTCCCCCAAGCCCAGCCTGCCCACTTGTCTGGGCCTGACCTCTTCCACCATGGTAGCCACCAGACCCAGACCAGCCCTCTGCCAAAGAAGAGAGGGTCAACCCTCCCTCGTTCCCCACCTCTGTCCCAACAGACTGTAATCCATATCCCTGAGTAAGAGACTAGGGACAGTTCTGTCCCTTGATCCAGGCTCCCAATCCATCTGACCCTCAGAACCTCTCACCAAATTGCAGCCATGTAACCAGAACCATCCAGAAGCCCTGATTCCCAGTACAGCAGAGACTCCAAGTAGCCATTTAGGAGTCACTCTACCCTCCTCTCTCTTAGGTCTGGAGAGGGTCTCCTTGTGCTGCCATATGGCAGTGGTGAGAGGCATCAGGCTTAAGGGTGCACAGGGGACTTTGGCAGCCTGCTTAAAGCTGGGGATGGGAACAGATATGCCAGGAGTATGTGAGAGCTTCCAGATCCTGCTTTGTGAGGTAGGTGCTGCCCTGCCCTGCTTGAGCATGGATTTTGGGAGCAAAGGGAGTTCAAGGGCCCCAGGTTTCAGTGGGGGCATTGTATGTGCTCGTCCCTACCTGGGTTGAGTGGGGTATGCTCTTGCAGCCTGCCAGAAGCTACCCACCTCAGTAAGGGCTTAGCCATCTCCCAGCCCCCTCCAATTGACATGGATCCCAGGATGGTGACTGTGCCTCTTTCCCCCAGAGAAGAGGACAGTACAAGGTGAGGTTTCCAAAACATAACTTGATAGTTCTCAGCAGAAGTAGTTCATATGGCCTGGAGCACAATTGTGAAGCACACTCTGTCTCCCCTTACCTGGAGCCCAATTTTATTTCTAGTGGCAGCTTCTCCCCTGGAATGGGATCCCTGGAATTCAGGGGCTTGTCCCCGGGAAGCCTCATTCCTGAGGAAAAGACAGGTAACTTCACTGCCCTTTGGGCTACCACTCAGTCTCCTGTTACACAAGCACAGCCACCAGTGTGCATGCTGTGCGCAGACACCTTGGAAACTTTACTCAAGCTTCTCTGGACCATAGCAGATAGTGCCACAGACAGTGCTGCAGAAATCGGAGGTTGCCAAGGACAAGGGGGAGCTTCTGTCCTCAGGTCCAGCACCCAAAGGAAGCTGCAGCATCCCTTCCAGCTCTTAACTTCAGAGCCTCCCCTGGAAGAGGGGTTGCTCTGGGAGTGTAGCTCATGAGGATTCAGATCTTGAATTAAGAATAAATGTCTAGAGAGATGGGTGAATGGATGGATGAATGGATGGATGGATGGATGGATGGATGGGCAAATGGATGGCTAGATACACTGACAAATGGGTTGGTAAATGTAAGGACTGGAGGAAGATTGGCTCCATCTTTCAGAGTTCAGGGTAGATGGTAAGGCAGAATATTCCATGTGCTAGGTTTGGGCATCTTTACAATGGGTTCTGAGTTACTCTTGTGATCCTGAAAGCTCTCAGCCCTGGGAAGGGCAGACCAGGTCCAGGTCCTCTCGTACTTCTGATCCTCTGGTCCCCATGTCCCTGATGTGCCATCGCCATTACTCATCCCTCCCCCACATCTTTTCTCATTTCTAGCCTTTTCAGCCCTATCTGTCCTTTCTAAGTGTTTGAGAGAAGGGGGGATCGCCCCACCCACATCTCCCCAAAGAGAGGCCCCTCACCTGCCAACACCTCCTACCTGGTTCCATGCGTAGTCCCAAGCAGAATTAGCAACAGGAAGAACAAGGCCGTAGGAGACACTCCACTATCTATACTCTTCTATATATGCTATTTCTATTGTACATTCAATCTGTACATGTGGGTGTAAATGCTGTGAAATGACAAACCCAATATTATACTGTGGCTGGTGGACTATTTTCATCCTCAGTGCTGTACATATCTATTTTCATTGTATATTTGATATATTTTTAATTTTGTAGCATGGCTGGGCCGGGCCCCAGCCCATGAGCCTGCAGGAGAGGCTGAGCTGGGACTGGCTGCTTGCTTGTTGTGGGCTCAGTAGTGTTTGTCGTAATCTTTCACTGTTGGCCCAGCTCTGTCCTGGCTGTCTTTGTGTTAGACGGGCCCAGAGCTTGATATGTGTATGAGTGCATGTGTGTGTGTGTACGTGTGTGTGTGTGTGTGTTGTGCACATCTGTGGGTGTGAGTATAGGTAGGGTGTGATCTGTGACTCCCAGTGTTCACCACCTTTCTGGAGACCATGTTGCCTCCCTGCCTCTCCTCCCAGCTCTGTGGGTGAGGCCTCAGGAGTTACATTCTGAGGGCCCCAGATGTGCGAAGGGCAGGTGTTTCTTGATGGTGACTTGCTGCCTTCGTGTTTCTGGTGGGAAGGAGGACCTTGGCGGGGAAGCCCCACATTTGTTATCCAGTCAACTTCTTGCTATTCCCACTGTTGCCACAAGTTCCTCTGCAGGAAAAATCCTGGATTTCTTAGCATAGTGAGATCTCAAGGAGGTGTCTCATAGCATTTCTGTCCTGTGTTTGTCCTTGTGATGGTCCTTGAGTTGTTACTCAGAATTCTGACACAGCTGCCCTGACTGCTTCTGACACCTCTGCTTGCTCTACAGAGAAGTCCAGAGTAGATGGCCCCTGACAAGCTAAAATACAGTTCCAGCTCCTCTGGGGAAGCAGGAGTTGGTCAGAGAGGGGCACCCTCCCCATGTTCCTGCCCAAGCCCCCACCCCCACTGGCTTTGGTGCTGTCCATGCAGTGCCCACCAGGAGACAGCAAGGCTCAGGGCAGTAGTCACTGAGATGGGGCAGAGCAGGGGCTTGCCTATTAGAGGCCCCTGGCTCTGCCTGCTCCAGGCCCCAAACATCAGCTCAGGGAGCTCAGGGAACCTTCTGCCCTGTCCACTGAGGCAACATGAAGCCAAAGCCCTGGGCAGGGGTGGACAGGGTAGGGCACATGAAGCGATGCTGGTCAGGTTGGCTTCTGCCCTCCAGCAATAACTGCAGGGACTCTTGCTTTCTTAGTGCCAGGAGAAACCCTCCTGTGTAGGCCATGAGGGGAGCCTGGAACCCATGCAGGCCTTGCAGCAGTATTACAGGGAGGGGGGCTGCTCTTCAGCCCTTCCTCACAGCTGAACCCTTCCTGCCAGATACTCCCCACTGTGAAAAAGAGAAGTGAGACTGAAAAAGTTGTAAAGCACTGATTTCCTGGTCCCTAGTGGTAGGCCCCCAAAAGTGGGGGCTGCTTCACTTGAGCCCAGTGATGGGCTGGGGAAGGAGGGCCCCAAGCCCTTTCCACAGAAAGCCTGCTTTGTACAGACCCAGGCACACACACATCAGGCAGTCACTTTGTGTCCTGACACAAGTTCAGAACTGTTCAAGTCCATGAATCCCATGACTGGTCAGAGCCCTGGGTCAGGATCACAGCTCAGAGGAGGAGATGAGGCACTGTCACCCCAGGGCCCCTTCTTTCTCTCTCCCCAACCCTGGTGTACAATAAAGTGTCTATTCTTACCAAATCCCTCTTGCCTTTCTTATCTGCTCTGGGGGAATAGGGAGGGAATAGGAGAAGACAAGGATCTTGAGGGAAGGTTTGGGGCAAAACCTAGGGCTGGATGGGAGAACAGGATTCTTGTGGGTTCTGGTGGCTGGCTGAGGGGTTTTCGGAGGGACATTTATTTTCCCAAGAATTGCTCTAGGAATCAACAATGCACAGCCTTATGCTGGGCATTTTGGGTTCCAACTCCTCCACCCATGTAACTGCCTGTGACTTTTACCACAGTTCCCCCAGGAATGGCTTGTGGTCCAGATTTTTCCAGGTGAGGAAAATGAGGCTCCATTTTACGTAAGATGGCATTTAGTGTCCTCTTGCAGGGGACATTTTTGTCCTGCTAGACTGCCTGGAGAAGCTGTACATGTCAGCTCAGCAAGAGGCTGGGAGAGGGGTTAGTGAGTGCTCACCTCAGGAGGGGCTGAGGCTGGGAAGCTGCCAGAGTCTGCAGGCCCCAAAGAGAGGGGAGGCAGGCCCTTGGTGCTGGAGAGGCGGACTGGGTGGCAACAAGATGTGTTCTAGGTTCTGAGAGCCATCCTCACTTCCCTCACTTCAGGTGAGCCTTTGGAAACTTTGGTGGAGGGAAAAGATGAACTACAGGGTGTGACCATCATTATTTTCAAATTTCTGTCCCAACTATTGACTTAGAAGAACGCTCTGAATGTCCCACACTGTAAAGAAGGGAATGAGCAGTGACAGGGGAAGCCCTTATTCCTGCTTTCCTTTAGGAGCACAGGCACCCAAAGAGACAAGATGTCTGGTTCTAAGGGGAGGGTGGCTCACTCCTATTCTACCCGACTCCACTCTGGACTAATGTGGTATTTTGTGCTCTCACGCGTTCAGCCAAGATCCCCAAAGCAGCCTTCCTTTTCTTCCCATCAGAGGGAAATGTTGTTCCAGAAACAGCCGCTAGGTGGCGGGGAAACCTTTCTGTCCAGATTTTAGCCCACAGACCCTCTTCCCCATTCTATCATTTACTATTTGTGGGTTATTCATTGAATAACATTTATTAAGCACGCAACATGAACAGGCTCCCTGTGCGTCGTAAGTACATAATGAAACGTAAATCAAATCCTACATTTTGCCAAGAGAGGAGCCCAATTCATGACTCCAAATCTGGCCACCTCTCTTTCAAGCATAGATCCAGGTGATGGAAAAGTCGTCCCTTGACTGGAGGTAATGTTTTTGGTTGAAATGCAGCTCTCCTCCAGGAGGGGCACACTGATTCACTAAGAGGTAATACAACAAGGGTTTCAATGTAACAGAGCTCTGAAATCAGACTCCCAAATTCAAGTTCTAGTACTTGTGTTTCCTGGGAGATCTTACATGTCCTGGTCTGTAAAACAGAGAGAATGCACAGATTGAATGAAATAATACATGTTGATTGTTATCTCTCTGTGTGCCAAGTTAGCCCAAATATTGGTGGCTTAAAACAACCATTTTATTACAGTTGTTTTGTGCGTAAGGAATTCAGACAAGGGTTGGCCTGAGTAATCCTTCTGGTAGCAACTGAGGTCACTTAGTGATATAAAAATGGCAGATGAGCTGGCATTGGGGGAGTCCAAGGCAGCCTTACTCACAGTCACTCAAATGTCTATTACCTAGTGAGAATGGCTGGAAGTTTGGGTTCAGGTGCAACTATCACCCAGACTGAGCATCTACAAATTCCTTTCTCATGTTTTAGAATGCACAGAGAGAACATTTTGAGGCAAGAAGTGAAAGCTATCAGTTTCTCATGAGCCGGACCTGGAAAATGGCATAGTATCTATTTCTACTGCATTCTATGGGTCACAGCATGTGCCCCGGAATAAGGGGAGACTTTACTTGTAGAAGGAGGGAGTTGTGGCTGCCTACATAATGAGCCAGTTGTAAGGTGTTAGGGATCTTTATCACTGGTACTTGCATGGAAACTTTCTCTTTAGGGAATACTGGCTTGGAAACATAGAACTGGAACTCACAATAGGTCAGTTCTGATGAGGTGAATGGCCAAATGTGGGCCCTGGATAGATGAGAAGGTGGGGGGGGGGGTGAGAGTGACATGCCGGAGGGCGCATGAGCTTCTGCTTCCTATTTGTCCTTGGGGGCAGAAAATATAAAGTACATGGAATCAGGAGTCTGTCACCAACATCATGCAAGCCAGAGAACCTTGTGAACCTACATTTTCTAATCTATAAAAGGAGGATGACAGTAATATCTCCCTGAAGAAATGCTCTAGAAATAAATTCTTTCCTATAGTACCTGCTCTACTATAGGAATTTTTCACATGAAAAAACCAAGTAGATGCTCATTAAATATTAGCCTCCTCTCTTAGTTAGTCTATGGGGCCTACTTTACTCTGGGGTACCCATCTTCCATGAAATGAGCCAACCTATTTAGAAAACACAGTCTCAGCCTAGAACCCAAAGAAGCCAGGAAAAGGGTGAGAAAACCCCGTTCCAGAGAAGAACGTATTTGGGGTGGGGGGAAGTCTCATAGATCTGCACACTATCTTGTTCCCTTCAACAGCCACAAGACAAAAATCTCATTCAGCTCCAGGCGTAAGGACTTGGGACAAGGCTGAAGGAGCCCACAGATCACAGGTAGCATTTTGTTTTTAAAGATAAGAATGAATTTTTTATATAGATTTTTGTCATCAAGAAGTCAATCTGGTTGAGTAAATGCCTCCTGTGACCAACAAAAGGCAGCAAAAGTCATACAATATAACTTCTAAAACTAGATTAGCAGGAGCCATGCTCTTTCCATGCACATTCTGCGGATCCTGATTCTGGGGGAATCAGCCGCCAAGTGAGAAATGCACCACCAGAGACTGCCATTGTAGCAAGACTGTGTTTGTAGGTGCTTATGTTGATGGCTTCAGCTGAGATCCCATCAATGGCCAGTGTCCACTGCTAGCCCTGTGGACATGTCACAGTGAATGCTTAGCCTAGCTGAGCTTCAGAGGCTGGCAGTTGCATCTGAGAGCTGACTGCAGCTGCATGAGAAGCCCTAAATAAAACCAACTCAATTGCTCAAGTAACCCTTTCCTAGCTTCCTGACCCATAAAATCCTGAGTAAAAGAAAAAAAAAATCCTGAGACATCAGCAATAGTAACCAGAATACGAAACTAAGGGATCTGGTCCAAATTCCTCATATAATAATCGGAGAAACTGAAGTTCCAAAAGAATAAGAGATCTAACAAGAATTCTTTCAAAGAAGCAAGAGAAAACTGGGGCCAGAGTCTGGGTTTCCTGATTCCTGGTCCAGCATATCTTCTACCTCTGCATAGTACTAACAGTGATAGCCCTGACTTTCTCCACACTTGTTTTCTCTCCACTAATCCTATGCATTAAGCAAGAATGAAATATTCTAAGTAGCAAGGATTATGCTAACTTCTGGGAATAGACAAAGAAAGGTCAGATCAGGCAGCAGTCCTTGCCTTGTGGAGCCAGTCACAATGTGACTCTGAGTAGCGTGTCCCCAGGCACCTCCATGGGTGTCAGTCACACTGGCTTAGGTGGGAAGGAGCTTGGGAGATGCGGAGACGATGATATCTCTCATTCAACACAAACCGTCATGAAGATTACTCCATGCCAGGAACAGTGCTAGTTGTGGAACACAAAGATTCTGCAAGGGTCTATCGTAAGTATTCTGGGTCTCTCTCTTCTGCCCAGCACTGATCCACGTAGGGAGGGCTCCCTGGATTTCATGAGCACCCAAAAGGGACCCAAGTTTGTCTGCTTCACCTGATGCTTGGTCACTTTTCCCAGAACACTACTGCAGGGGACTGAGCCCCAGGACTAATTAGCTTCTCTAATGGAATGAACTACTTTTACTGGAATTTAGCTTAGGTGAGAGGAATCTATGCTTCTGTACTTTTTCTAGATGTAGTTATGTTGAGTGCCAAGGAATCTTGCCAGCTGGGCTCTGTGCTAATGTATGTAGGGGGATGAAGAGGATCTCTTGACCCAGGCTGGGCCTCTGTCCCAGCAGTCTTGAACAAGGAAGGCTTGGAGGGGTCCACTCAGTTAGCCTCAGTTCTGTGAGTCCATGAACATATGTGATCTCACACATACACACACACACGTGCATGCAAGTGCCTATTCTCTGTCCTTGACACAACCCCAGAAGTGATTCCATCATCTAGATTCACTAATACTTAGGCCCAAAATCACTCAACAGGAATGTACCTGCGAGCTGGCACCCAGGTCTTTTCTGGCCCTGTGTCTTCAAAGCCATGGTTTACAAGCCCCTCTGTCCTGGTCTGGCCTGGCTTGTGGTCTGAAGCCTCTGGTCTCTTCAAGAGCTGTGCTGGCAAAGGCTATCTCCCAAGTTCCACAGAGCTTCAAACATAATTTCAATGGGACTTCCACAGCAATCTAACTTGCCTTCAGCCCTCACCAGAGTCATTCTGGCTGACCTCCACAAGGCCTGGATCTCTCTGGACTATCCTCTAAGGCTAGGTTCTCCCGCAGCTCTCTTGGGAAGGTGCTCACATTTGATTTGGAGTCTGGGAGTCCCTGCAGGCTGCCTGGAGGTGGGTGGAGGGTAAAATGAACTGATGAACAAACAGGTTCCCAGCCTTCTCTCACCCACCCTTCTCTTCTCCCTCTATGAAGGGAAAGTCTTCCCCCTCCCTCCCTGTGCAGGGATGACGTTTGATAGAGTAATTCTATTAATTAGGCTGAGCTGGAGAAGGGAATGCTGGGAAAGGATGCTGACTCCTTGGCCCAGACCTGCAGGAGTGGTTGGGTCCTAGTAGAGCTGGAATACCAAAACAGGAAGTGTGAATATCAATGGATAGGACCTTGACTTGGCAGTCATGGGGTTGACTCCTTGACCTGGAGCTCCTCAAAACGAGTGAGGCCCAAAGAACGAAGCTGGAGAGGAGTTTGGATGGTTCCTGTCACCCCAAAGAGGCAGAGCCCACATGAAACTCCCAGTGGAAAAAAAAAACCCAAAGTGTAAATAACTTTGATTTTAGGCTCTTAGCTCCTCACTGGCAATATCAACCTCAGCATACAGGGAAGACAGATGAAGAGAGGATGGAGAGAAGGAATTTGGGGAATTAGGATTTTCCATTTGTGGCACCTTGTGGTCCTGTTCAAACCTGTTTGAAAGTTCTTGGAGAAATAGAGAGGGACACAGAGACCTGGATGGGAGCATTAGGTAGGACTCCGGAATCCACAGGACGCCCAGAGGAACAACTGCTCTCCCTGCCCCACAATACCACAGCCAGTGGGACTTTCTACTCCCTGTCACAGTCAGGAGCTGAGAGAAGGGGCAGGCCCAGGCTGTTCTGTCTCCACGAGGGGGCAGCACACTCCTACCGGCAGTAGGCTGGCGTTCAGGCAGGCAGGCGGCTCTCCTCTCCCACCTAGGATATGTGCTTTAGGGGAACAACAGCAAGGCTTCACACACACAGAGGTGATAGGGCCAAGCCCTGTGATGCCTACTGTAGTGAACTGACTCTCCCAAAAGAGTTCAGGAAGGCCTAGGGACCACATTATTTAAGAATTCTAAAATAAAAACTGTTCAGCAAGTGGTAAGGCCTCCTCTGGAGGCCTCTGGCCTGATGCTGAGCTCCCTGGGCAGAGGCCTCCTCCTGGAGAACCTTTACCTAGATGCCTGTTTTCCTCGACTTCTCCTGGGTTTCCCTGTCTCCAGGCAGTTTTCCACCTCCTTTTTCCCTGGCATCATTCTTCCTCCGATCTATCCCAGGTACTCATCACCAGCCACCAGCACCACAGAATGGATGCGCTGACTAGGCTTTCCTGGAGAGGAGGGCTGATTTATTCATGGATATGTCTGGTCCCTGGAACGACTTCTGGCAGGTAAGAGGTGTTCAATAAATATTTACTGAATGAACAAAGCAGGTGTGGGAGGCTGTAATGGATTTTCTTTCTCCTTACCCATTCCACTTCCATCAACTTGTCCCTCTTCTCAGAATGATCGAGGTCAGTCAGCCTGGAAAGCAGGGGAGAGACTCCAAAGGCCTCGCAAGGACACAATCTGGAGAGGACTTTTAAGGTGGTCAATATAGTCAATTTACTATCCCAACGTGGTTCATCCTTCCATTCCAGCTCTGGTCAGTTGTTAAGTCTTCTCTGTCACAATAGGATATTTCTTTCCACTGCAGCAAGAGCAAAGTCAGTTAAAATCTGAAATGTAGACATCAAGTCCAAGGACTGGGGAGATCGGGAACAAAGTGACTGCCAGTAAACGTGTGTTTCTGATTACAGCCCAGGGTGGTACCTGAATATAAAGATTGTTATTTGGGTTTTCTGACCTAAGAAGACTTGCTTTTGAAAATCTTTTACATTTGCATGGGGTTTTAATACTTTCCGGAGAGATGTGCAAGGTCTGGTTTTTCTCACTATTGCTGGGTACTGGCCCATCTGGAAATTGACGACTGCACACGTGTTTAGGGCAGGTGTGTCAATCGCTTTGCATTTCTGCCCTCAAAACCTTGCATCATCCAGGCAGGGAGGCTGCCTGGAGCTATAAAAAGAAAGAAAGATAGGGGAAAGAGAGAAAGAAAGGAGAAAGAAAAATGAGTTAATTAAAGATGAGAGGAGGTTCTGAGCTTAAACACAAACAAACAAATCTGGAAATTACTCTTGGGACAGGGCCAACAAAGTCTGCTTGCTGCTAATGTTTTGGGCAGGATATCTCCTCAATCATTTAGCAAACAGGTTTTCAAAAGCAAGCACTGTGGGAGCCATCAAGATGAAAAAGCACAGCCTGGAAGCAGCTCAGGGTCAGGGAGGCAAGAGCAGCCAGAACCACAGGCAAAGCTAAACTGCAAGCAGTCTACAATCAAAGGACCAGGATTTGGCACTTCCAGTGTGTCCTCTAGGCCAACTGTAAGCCAGACTTTAACCTAATAACCATTTGGGGGAAGTACCTGACAGCTATAACACTTTCCTCTGCGCACAATGCCAGGGCTATGGCTTCCTCCCATCCAGATCCACCAAGAAGGAGCCATTGGTCTGCCCTGGGCAATACCTGTTCCAAGATGGGGCCTGAGATAATTGTGACAGAAGCTATAGCATCAAGATCACAGGCCTCCAGGAAGCAGGATGGGGATGGGGTGGTCAAGAGGCCCCAACACGATGCCTGAGCCAGGAGAGAGATGTTTTCTCCTGGAGACACCTTTCCACTCTCTTTCACCGTGATCTCCAGTCGGCAGCAATGAAACGGCAATAACGCGACTGGTCTGACACAGAAGGGGGAAAGGCTCAGCAGGAAAAGACTGGCGAGGTTAGAGGTCAGGGGTCGAGAGCGCTAGGGTGTCACCCGGGCTGCAGTGGGAGGAGCAGCGAGCTGAGGGAGGCGGGGAGCGGGCTGGGAGGGGATGCTGGCGGAGGCGCGCAGGGGCGGCGCGCAGGGCCGGGCACCGGCGGCGAGGGGGTTACGCGCCTCGGCTGAGCTCTGCTGAGCGGAGGAAGGCTGAGCTCGTCTGTCCGGGTCCTGCGGCGTTCTGGGTCCTCTCCGCGCCACGCCCCGCCCACCTTGCCCAGCAGAAGGCGCGCCCAGGCCAGGCGGAGCTCGGAGAAAAAGGCGCCACCGGAGCTTGGTGTCCACTGCCATCGCTGGAGGGAGACCAGAGCTTCCTGAGCCGCAGTCCACCGGCCCCCAAGGGCCCCCTCCCGTAGGCCACCGTGCGCCCGCCCCCCACCGCGAGCCAAGGCCGGCTCCCTGCCCGGAGATGGGCAGACGCGCAGATGGCGCGGCTCCCGGCGCCGCCAGATCGCAGGAGCCCGGCGCCGGGGCGCTGCGCTGAGGCTCCCCCTCGGCGCGGCCCAGGAAGCCTGCAGGTGTCCTTGGCCGGTCCGCCGCTGCCTGGGCACTTCTTCGCCAGCACCTAGAGCTCCGCTACCTGAAGCGGCCCCGCCCCTCCCCCGCGTTTGTCGCCGAACAGGACGCCCCGTCTGAGGCCTCACCCCCCCGCACGGCCCCCGCAGCGCGGCGCCCAGCCCAGCGTAGCTCCCACCCGCGGACGCAGGACCCGGGGCTCGCTCCTGCGGGTGCGCCTGTTTTTCTGCCGTTGCCTCGGCCGCCGGTCCGCCCAGCCCTTCCTACCTTCCATGGTCAGTGCTGAATTTATGAATGGGGGAGAAGAGGCCACATGCCGCCGCCGCCTCGTGTTGACCGAACGCAGCCCGACCCTTTGGTGCTCCGGCAGCCCTGAGCTTGGTCCCGGCTGCCGCTCGGAGGACTTGTTGCTGCTGCGCTGCTGCTGCTACCGCGGGGAACCAGCCGCTCCCGAGTCAGCGCGGTCTGGGAGCCCGAGGGTGGCCCGCGTGAGTGTGAGCGCGTGCGCGGGACCCTCGCTCTGCGCCGGGACTGAGCGCGTCTCCTTTTGGGGGGGGGCGTGTCTCCATCCCAGAGTGTTCTTGTGTGCTGCCCTGGGGGAGAGAGTGCGTGTGCTTGCTCTTACATCCCCGGGCCCCTCGCTTGAGTCTCCAGCTCTTCTGTCTCCCTCCGACCTCGCTCCCTGCCACTGCCGGCCCAAACCCAACCACCTGTGCACCCCCGAAACCCAACTCCTCCTGCTTCGCGCTCTCGGGGTGGGGGGGAGGCAGGGGCAGGGCTGCGCCGCAGAGGGGGCCGCTGCCACCTCCTGCCTCCTCCTCGTCTCCTCCCCCTCCCCTGTCTGACGCTGCCTTCTCGGGAAGGGTGTTTGGAGGGCAGCGGCCGCCCCAAGCCGGAGCCCTGCAGCGCTTCTTATGATCAGCTCGGTGTGTGTCTCCTCCTACCGCGGGCGCAAGTCGGGGAACAAGCCTCCGTCCAAAACATGTCTGAAGGAGGAGATGGCCAAGGGCGAGGCGTCGGAGAAGATCATTATCAACGTGGGCGGCACGCGACATGAGACCTACCGCAGCACCCTGCGCACCCTACCTGGCACCCGCCTCGCCTGGCTGGCCGATCCCGACGGTGGGGGTCGGCCCGAGTACGATGGCGGTGGCCCGGGCAGTAGCGGCAGTAGCGGCGGCGCCGGGGGTTGCGAGTTCTTTTTCGATCGGCACCCGGGCGTCTTTGCCTACGTGCTCAACTACTACCGCACCGGCAAGCTGCACTGCCCCGCCGACGTGTGCGGGCCGCTCTTCGAGGAGGAGCTCACCTTCTGGGGCATCGACGAGACCGACGTGGAGCCTTGCTGCTGGATGACCTACCGGCAGCACCGCGACGCCGAGGAGGCCCTCGACATCTTTGAGAGCCCTGACGGGGGCAGCGGCGGCGCGGGGCCCACCGACGATGCCGGCGACGATGAGCGGGAGCTAGCCCTGCAGCGCCTGGGTCCCCACGAGGGAGGCGCTGGCCCAGGCTCCGGTTCTGGGGGCTGCCGCGGCTGGCAGCCACGCATGTGGGCGCTCTTCGAGGACCCCTACTCCTCCCGGGCTGCCAGGGTGAGTGGCTGGAGCCCGGTCTCCGACTGGGGGGGGGGGTTTATAGGTGTGTGGCAGTATGGGTAAGGGCAGGGGACAGGGAGGAGCCTATGAGACTGAGTGACCACCGCGGGCTGATGCTGCCTCCTTCTCAATCTCTCTTGGGCCCTCAGGGTAATCTCACACTCCTACCCAGTCCCCTGCCCACACCTCATCAGGAGGTTGCACACACTTGACTTACTACTGGGACCCAATCCCAGCTGCCTACTTTGCCACATCCATGGGGTGCCCTCAAATCAGCTCTTTTATGCCCTATCTTCAGGGCCAGTCCTGCAGAGCTAGGATTTGGTCTGCTGGACTGAGACAGGAAACCAAACCGGGTTCATTGTGTTAATACTTCCGTGGCATTCTATCCCATTTAAATCCTGCCTGCAGCTCAGCAAGCAACTGTTGTGTTTTAGAGAGGGTTTGATGGGCTCAAACATGCTCAGCTCAGGAAAGGCAGAGCTGGACCCAGGCCTTCGGTCCAAGCTGAGGAGGAGCTTGCTTTCTTTAGGGTGCAGGTCATGAACTAAGGCTTTGACACAGTTAGGATGGCCTGGTGTCAGCTGGGGTGAGAGGCAATGAGACAGAAAAGGTCTGCTGTTCTAGGCCCTTTAGGCTTCCATGGCCAGTGGCCAGCCACAGGCTTCCTGGTGAAACCAGATTTGTTGCCACTTTTTTTCATGCTGCAGCACAAAGTGGCTTCCCAGAAAGCTGTGGTTCAGGTTACTGCTCCACATCGCAGGGTGAGGTGGGGTGGGGTGGGATGTGATTTAAGCAAGACCTAGTCCCTCCAGACTACCCTTCTCTGAATTTCTTTCAGTTTCTCTTAATCCCTATAGGTAGGAAGAGATAGTCAAGAAAATACTTGCCCATTTATGCTTGGGCAGGTAAACCCTGCAGGAAGGAAGGCTTTAGATTCTTTAAAAAAGAAAATCCCAGGGGTTGGTGTCTGATCTCATGAGCAGAGCCAAAAGCCTGGCAGGGGTCTGTCTGGGAGAGAGGCAAGAGCAGAGTGATTCGTTGGGTCTGAGGACTGTTTCTTGCTGTGGATACTGGTGAGTATCTCTAGCATGCCAGACTGTCATGTTGATGAGACGCAGGGCCCTGTCCTGTCCCCAGCTTTCCTTGGGCTGGGTGTCATCCTAGTTGTGGAAGGAAGAGTTCTATTTCCCCACCCATGGGGGCCATAGGACTGGGGAATGGGCCTGAAGGGAAGGGCTAGGTTGGCATAAATGCCAGACCTGGGAAGATCCATTTCCTGCCTGGAAAAGAAAAGAGGGGCAGAGGTCTGGGGCCATGGCATGCTGTGCTGGGGCTGTAGGCAGTCACTAGAAGACAGAGGTGTTTTTCAGGTCCCTTCCTGCTTTGGTTTCAGTCTTTGCAACCCTGAAACCAGCTCAGAAGGTAGACACAGTAATACCCATGGCCTGGGTCTGCTGTGAGTTCCAGGCTTCTCATGTAGTTCACTAAGCTGCTAATGTTGGCTCTTAGCTGTCTGTATAAAGAAGACAGACTCTTCTATAGTTCGGGGTGGGAAGGTGGCAGATTTAGCTTAATAGAGAAGGGAAAGGGGGACAAACCACAGACGAGGAATGAGAAGAAATGGTTAAGGGAAATGAGTCCTATTTTTGAGCATTCTGGGGTTTCTAGGGACTTTTCACCTGCTCAGGGTCTTCTCTCTGGGATTATAACAGCCTATGGTACCAGTGCTGGTGAATCTTTTAGAGACACGTAGCTAAACTTCAACCCAAAACTTACTTATTTATTGTAAAGTTCCAACACTCAATTAAAACTGATGACTGAGGTTTCAGTTTAAAGAAAGCAACTCATACAATTACATTTTTGTCTTAGAAGAAAAACAAATAATGCCATTGGTTCACCACCACTGGACTACTACTGATTCACAATCAGATGGCCCAGCCCAGGCTTAGACCCTGGTTTGCCTCTTGGAATCCTCCAGGGATCCAAGATCCTTTGCTCTTTTGATGGGAATCCCTTCAGCCTGGCCTTTTCAGCTGAGGTCTTTGGGAAAAGGTAATTCTCTCATTTAAGCAATGAACAGACCAGGAGTCAGCCACTACATGTCTTGCCAGAGACACTTAACAAAAAACAGAGCCAGCACACCACTCTTAGCATCCAGCCTTCAGGTTGTCAGTACCAATAGGAGTAGCGTTCTGCAGCTCTGGCCAGCACACGTGCCAAATGACCTGCCTACAGCTAAGTAACACAGACAACGCAAGCCCTCAGCTGCTTCCTGACACACTGATGGGAATACACAGTTCTTAAAAATTAATAACTGCTATTCATTGACTACCCTGTGCAAGTACTTTGTTATGCATACTTTAATCTCTAATCTCCCAGTGAACTTGAAACAAGGCAGTTACCCCCACTTAACAGACTGAGGCTGTGGGCAGCCAAACAGCTCACCTGAGATCACATGTTGAAATAGTGGCTGGGCCTTGAACTGAAGCAAGAGCTCCCTGCCTCCCTAGCTTTGCTCCTGTGATCACAACAGACTCTAGTCACTGAGAGAGGCTGTTTGTAACATGGAGAGGTAGGCCTTGAGGATGTTCTGAGGTTCTCTGCCTCCTGTGGACGACATCAGAAAACCTAGGAGCAGATGAGGACATCAGAAGGAAGCTGCTCTGTTGCTTCTTGGAACCTGAGGGCATTGTGCCGGGTAAGGGATTCTGGGGCTACCCGCTGCTACCAGAGTCCTTTGCCCTTGAGAGTGTTTGCATGCTTTTCCTCACAGACATGACCACCTGGAAGGGGTGTGCAGCACTTCAGGGTACCTAGAAGGGTGCATGAGGGTGCATGAGGATTAGTGCTCTGCCCCAAGGTGCCTCTTCCCACACAGCAGCCCAGCCATTTGAGTAGTGTTATGACAAGGGCAAAACAGACACAAACGGAAAGCGAACTGAGCTGATGTGGAAAGCCTGTTGCCTAGCTACTGACCTGACCATCAGAGCTGTTCCTGATCAGGCCCCCAGCAGAGTATGTGCAACCTTGCTCCTTTCCCTGTGGCTGGCTGCTGCTGTTGTTCTGTGTCTGTGGCCTGTGCCAGGGACAAGTATGATAGACAAGCTGGTCCTATCCTGACCTGCTCATTCCACTGGTCAGAGTGTGGGCTTCCCAAGGTGGTTTCACAGCTTGAGAGGGATCAGTGGAACTTTGGAAGCATCAGCTGTGTAATAATCATCTCTTCCTACTTTTCTAAGAGCTGATAATGACCCTAAGCCAATCCAGTTTCCAGAGGTTTCAGGGGCCCAGCTGGCTTTAGTGGAGCTGTCAGCCCTGGACTGAAACAACTTCTGCATGCATTTTTCCTGCAGGGTTTCTCTTCTGAGTGTGTGTGTGTGTGTGGGGGGGGGGTGACCTACAAGCTCTGTGCTGCTTCAGGAAGGCACCTGGAGCTGGGTTTTCACTTTCATTGGGCTGTGTGGCATGTTCTTGGCCTGTGCTTTCTTTCACTGTCTCCTCTGGCCTAGGTGCCCCAGAGATAATTAATTTCATTTTACAGATAAGGAGACTGAGGCACAGTGAGGCTTGTCCAGGTGGCAAGGCTGATTATAACTCCTACTGCTGCCTCTCATTGACTCCCACTCAGAAAGGACCTCTGGCTTCTGGAGGGTTCAGGGTGGCCTTTACTGGAGGTCTTCCTCCTTTATTGTCCTCTTGGCCTTTCCTTTGTTCTTCCTCATTCCTAGAATTGCTAGATTCTGATCCTGTCTTTTTGCACTGTGGGATTTTCATGAGAAAGAAGCAAGGCTTTATTAGGAGTAATTACTAGGTTTCTCCTGGACCAGGCAGAGGACTAAAACTAAGGCCTTCTAGCAAAGAGCCTCAGGGTTTTGTTCCCCGTATCTCCTGAAGATCCCTTAGCTTCTCTGGCATTGCCTAGGAACCCCCTACTTGGTGATCACAACAGAGTTTCGAATGAGGACCAGCAGTGCCCTCAGAGCTGAGATGACAAGTGCTTGAGCCCAGGAGGACAGTGCTAGCCTTCCCCATGCAGCCCTTCCTCTTTTCTGTGGAACAGGAGGCCCAGGCCAAAGGCTGCAGCCTCACTACACACCCTGCCTCAGCTAGTGTTCCAGTCTTGTGGTTTGTTTTGTGTATTTTTTTCTCTTCTGAACAGACCAATGTTTGCCTCTGAACATCTTGTCTCTGGGTGATGAGGTGTTTCTGTTTGTCACTGTTTGGAGTGGTCTGTGGAGTGGGCTATTTTGGAGAGTGGAGGGAAGAGCAAGCAGGAGCAGAATCAGGTAGCTGGGCTGTGGCAGGAAGGAACCCCCTGCGTCCTTCACCTCCACAGGGACAGTGTCGCTCTGGATGCTGAGCCCCAGAGTGCTCCTATCCTTATTCTTGAAAACAGCCAGTGTGCATGACCCTGGTCCAGACCACTAGTAGGGTGTTCTTCAGACCCAGAAGTGTTTACCCAGTCCCTGGAAGGAGGCTCCACCAAGAGATAGGCTCAGCCCACCCCAGAGAGCAGCAGAGGTGCTAGGGCCCCAGTGCTTTGAGGTATTCCTAGGCATGCCTTTATCACTCCTGACCCCAGTCAGAGGAGCTAATATAATGATCCCTCCTCCTGCTGGGCTACCCAGAACCCAAAGAGGGAATAGCATTCACTTGGGTCCAGTCATTCACAAAACATTTACTGAACACTACATGATGGACACTCTGCTGGGTTCTAGACATATAAAAATGAGTCAGAGGTGGTCTCTGCTCCTGGGGAGAAGAGTGCCAGGTCAGATGGACAGGAAAATTAGGTGACGAGAAATGACAGTAATATTACATCATGAGAGGTGCCATAAAAACACAAATGTTCAATAGGAAGCAAGAAGAGGCAGTGAGTGATAAGTCCTGTTTTACATAGGATGGGGAAGATTTGGCCAGGAAGTAGGAATTGAGCTGAGTAGGTCTTGCAGGGTAATGACTTCACTCCCTTCAATAATTTTTAGAAGCAGGCA